CTGGATCTATCTTGAAGTGTTGAGATCGATGAAAGTTGGATCGATCGAACTTTTCCTGAGATCGATCGAAGTTGCTGAAATTCCACCCTTTGCTTCCTTTTGCTCTACTTTGCTCCTTTCTTTGATTCATCCCAGAATTGTTTCATTTCTGCTCTTATTTGGTTGAGTTAGCTTACTTTGGGGATAAGTACCTGAAAGTGGAAATAACATGAAATCAATCTAAAACTGGAAAATAAGATAGAAAAAGGTTCTAGAATACCTAAGCTTAAGGAGTTTAAATACACACTTTGCAGCGCTCATCACACCCCCAAACTTAAATATTGCTAGTCCCTAACAATGAACTAGAAAGTAAAGGAATGAAATGAATAACTATACAACTATGAATTAGAAAGTAATAAATGGATAACGCCACTTTTGTAGGGAACACGATTACATTTAGCATATGCAACAAGCCTTTTAAACTCCTAGGTTGCCCCTAGTGGATGAGTGAAGTCTCATGAGAGTTTCCAGAAATGATACCCACAAACATTAAGCTCATTCTTTCAAAAGAGGCACCAATATTGCAAACAAGCATTGGGAGAAAACTACCTCAAGTATGCAATTTTTTAAACATCTCTAAGCAAATTCCCAAAATCTCAACATCAAGCAAGCAAGTATGGTCCTCCACACATCAATAAAATGATTATGAAAATCAAAACAACACTAGAATCCTTTTTGAGTGGACTGGCATCAAATATGTTGCTATCTAAGCCATCTAAAGAAATGATCACATCCTTACCCTCAAACTAGCATATAAATCTAGTACCGATCATCAAGACAAAAAGTGGACCTTTTATTAAAGCTTTATTGATCTAGGTGCGCTTATTCTTTTCACTCAATTTTTTTATTTATTTATTTTTATTTATTTATTTTTTTACAGGATCAAAGATGGAAGTATGGTGCAATGTAGTGATCTATTAAGCTTTCTAGTGATCCATGAGGTCGAGCGTTAGGTCAATGACTCCCAAACCAGACGGCTTTAGGGCACTAGGTGTTCAAACACCCTTAAGGACTTACAAGCTCAAATCAACTAGGCCACAAATCAAAACACCCTCCATCTAATCATTTCCCACTTCTCAACTTTTGGGAGAAGTCATCACTTTTTTATTACTTTTGCAACTTTTTTTTTTTTTTTTTTTTTTTAACATTCAATTATTAACCTAGAGTTTGGGCCCTCCACCTTTCGACATGAGAAATTCAGTGCTTGATAAGGCTAGAATCCCGGCTACTCAATAAAAAGGGTTTGTTGTCCACCTTTATCAAGAAGAAAGCTTTCAATGCACTACTAACCCAATTGGGATATAACCAATTCAATAATCAACAAAGCATGTACCCCATAAATGAATGCTAGTGTGCGCCTGTGCTAGTTTAGAATCCTAGAGTGAATCTCAAAACAATCAAAAAATTAGGATGATGTGGACCACAAGTGCAAGCAAGATATCAATCTTTTGAAAAATTTACTCCTAAATGGCATCCACAAGGCATACAAGGAGTATTGGACTCTCAAGTAAAGCAATTTTTAAATTTTAAGCAATACAGTCCTCAAAAGATCAAAATCATAGCTAGTATTGGACCAATCATAGAAAATCTCTCAAATACATAAGTCATGCTCAAAATTTTGAATTTAAAAACAAATACTGCAAAGCACCATTAGCCCTAAACTTAAATGGCACAATGTCCTCAATGTGCAAAGAGAACAAAAGGAAAGAATATACCAGTGCAATTAAGGCAAAGAATAGCTAGGACAGAAGTATCCAAAGTGGGTGGCATAACCCCCCCAAACTTGGGATTAACTGTGGTCCTGAAATTTGGCACTTAGATAAAACTCATCAGATAACAAAAGGGATAATAACAGTGCACAGTGGACATGCAAGTGTAAATGGGATAGCAACTGAAAAATAGAGAGAGGTATAAGGGTGGTCCTGAAAATTTTGGGCAGTACTCTCTCTCACTAAAGTCACTGGAATGCACCTGATGGAGTCAATCACAAACAGATATATCAATTTAAGGTACGACATCCAACATATAACATGTATAAACAGAAATAATATACATCATAGCACAGTATCAGGGCAACAGACTGGCCGTAAAAATAAAGTAACAGTAATAATGTATCACAGATACATAAAATGAAAGGAGTAAAGGGATAGAGAAATCAGGAAGAGGAGGTAAGATGGGTAGGGCGTGCTCCACGGATATCTCGAGATAAGTCTCGCAACGCAGCCATGACATCGGTACGGAGAGATGTAATTTTAGCTCGGATGAAGACAGCATCCTCTCGGATAGAGACCGTGTCGGCACGAATAGATACTACAGCATCCTCCAAAGCCTGGAGTCACTCTCCAAAGCCGGGTGTCTGTGCTGGAGCCTCAGGTACCATTGGAGCGGGAGAATGATGATCCTGAGCCTGTTTCGCATCGTAAATGGGTGACCTAACTGGAGAGTGCTGCTCTGGGACCTCTGCAGGCTGCTCCAAATCGATGTCCATATGTATAGTAGCTGGATCAACTGGTATATCGTCCACTACCGGGTCTGCTGCTACTGTTGCTTGCTCCTCTACCTCAACTCCTCAGTTGCCTCTACAACATCGTCCCTCAGACTCCTGATAAGAGCATTGTAGCTCATATCCCAATCCTTCTTCTTTAAGGAACAGGCCCCAGACTCAGTCTGCTCCCGTAGATGGAAGGGATGGCGCTGGTCTTGTAGAATCTGGGTGATGAGATGGCCAAATGGAAGATACTTAGCCCTTTTGGGCTTGGCCTTTTAATGTGGTCGACATACAGCTTCATCATGACGCTCCAGATGAGCACTGGAATAGATAGCCAATGCCCTGTATAGAATGCGTACAGAGCTGTCAGATAGTCGCCGCGCCTCTGTGTCTTATGGCCGGCCATGAAGATGTTACGGAACAAGACAGAGTCGAAAATGTTGGACCAAGAAGGAGGGGTGAATTGGTCAAATCATTTTGATAAATTGAAAATTAAAATTAAAACAGAAGATAAAGCAATGCAACAGGTTTTACAAGGAAACCCTTTTAATTAGGGAAAACCTTGGGTCTTGGCCTCAGCCAATGCAAACATCCACTAGTTGTAAGTAAGCTATTACACAGTCAGCTGTCTCACTCTCTGCACACACCCTTGTACCACAAGTAGACACTAGCTTTTACACACTTCACTCACACACTAGCTCAACAAAGTGTATACATACACTCCCCCTGTCCTAAGCAACCCTGTCAGGACCAAACAAGCTCTCTAAGCTCACCAAATACATCAAAGTAGATGATATATAAGAAACACAAGTCTTTCCTATAATATGAAATAGGGCAGACAGCTCAGAATGCCAAATTACCACTTCAAAACAACTATTTGCAGCAATCAGTACTTGAGGGGTAAAATGGGAATTTCCTTTCAAGAATCAATCAATAGCATCATATTCAGTCTTCATTCACTGTAGTACTCATGATCATAACTTTGAACAATAAATTGTAGCATGAGCAAAACACAAAGTTCATAACAGGCCTTAGTTCAGTAAATCTCAGCTTAAGACAAGGGTTTGAATATTGAAAATTGCAGCTAATCAGAATTCTCTCACAAAGTCAATTTCAACAGACTAGATTCATCAAAATATACTTGCTGGAAGATCAAAAACTCATAATATAACAAAGCTTAACCAATTAGTACTAGAACCCATGAATCAGTTAGTAAATTCAGCAACACAGATGAGATTACTGACCAAATATGAGTTCAGCATGATTTTCAACCTAACTTTGTACTGAGCAAGTGTAAATCAGTGAATTATACCTGTGTCAGCTTACAAACTAGACCACAGCACCTTTGAACTCAGATTCACTACTCAATCCAGCCCTTGCAGCAGCAATAACAGCAGAAACAACATTTTCTCAGTAAAGCACTTCAGCAAAGCTTGAATCAGTGAGATTTTATAGCATAAATCATCATAAAACTCTCAGTAAATCAAATTCATTCAATGCTCTAGAGAAAATTCAGCCTGCTCAATATCACTTTTCATTTGCAAGGCTTGATCCTTAAAATGGCTATAACAACATATAAATATAGAACCACAAAGTGCACAGAACTTCATACACCCTCAGAATACACATGTCACCTCAAGCCAATCATTGATAAAGCACAATGCAGATATTTTCAGGAGCAAGAGCCAATTACTGAAAGACACCTCAGCACTTTTGACACTATATACACTGAAAAATACACATACACACTACAAGACAGTGCACACCACTCAGCTCAATACTTAACCTCTAACAAATGCAATATTCTTGCATATTCACTTGCTCTGGGACCACTGGAGTGTGACATACACATGAGCATAGAAGAAAATTACCAAGATACCCTTACAACAGATTTTTATCTTCTCAACTAAGAAAAAGTCCTGAGACTGTATAAGTGACAATGCAGCTTCAATGAGATCACTCCAGTGCAATGCAGCATCCTAAACATACGTATCTATATTGAATATAGCTGAGGAATGACAATGCTACCCCTGGAACCATCTAAGACAACTTTATGAACTAAGTCCACACAAAATTCAGCAATTTCAGTAAGAACAGGCTAGTACACTGTGGTGTATTTTCAGGACAGATATAAAGCATGAATCACTAATGTGAAAATGACTACACAACCCTTGAATCTTATTTCAAGCAACATTAATATTGAAGAAACCACTGCTACACTGATTTTTGACATTAAAGAGGCAAACACTGCATAAAGAACTTTAGGACCAACAATCTCCCCCTTTTGCCTTTATTGACAAAAACTTCAATAATGAAATAAGACCTTAGAGAAGCAGATGCAACCAAAGTAATGAATATAGTAACAATAACAATAAGAAAAAGAGATATGTAAAAAGTTACCCCTTATTTCAGTCCATTCTCCCCCTTTTTGACATTGAAGGACAAAAGGTGAGAATGACCAACAATGAAAAGATTAGAAAGGCGGTTGAACAACCCTAAGAAGAGTTCTAAGGGTTAAAAACCTGCGAGGGTGAAGAGGTTTGGTCATGATATCTACCAGTTGATTTTGAGTGGGTAAATAAGTGATGTCAATAAGACCTTTCTGAACTTTGTCTCGAAGAAAATGATACCTAATATCAATATGTTTGCTCTTCCAGTGAAGTGTGGGATTCTTACTTATTGCAATGGCACTTTGATTATCACAGTAGAGTATAGGAGCACCTGAGAAGTGAAGACCAAGATCTGCAAGAGTAGTATGCATCCAGAGAAGTTGGGAAGCAGCTTGAGAAACAGCAATATACTCAGCTTGTAAAGTAGAAAGAGAGACAGTATCTTGTTTCTTACTCAGCCAGGAAACAATATTTGAACAAAGAAGATAATAGTCACCTGAAGTACTTTTTCTGTCAGGTAAGGAGCCACCCCAATCAGCATCTGAAAAGGCTGTTATAGGCAGTGTAAGGGAAACAATGTAGTGCAAACCATAATAGATAGTTCCTTTGATATATCTAAGAATCCTTTTACCAGCCTGGAGATGAGAGAGTCTAGGATTGCACTGAAATCTTGCTACCAGTCCCACAGAGTACATAATATCTGGTCTGGAAGCTGTGAGGTACAAGAGACTTCCAATGATAGACCTATAAAGTGTAGAAGGAACTGATTCTGTAGTACACTCGAGAGAGAGCTTGGTATTAGGACATAAAGGAGTTGAAACAGGCTTGTAATCAGTCATATGAAACTTTTTAAGCAACTCAGATGTATATTTCTATTGAGAAATGAAAATCCCTGTACAGGTTTGATGGATTTGCAGGCCTAGGAAGTATCTGAGAGGTCCTAAGAGTGACATTTCAAATCTGGTTTTCATTAAATTTGCCAACTCTGATGCTAAAGAGGTATCCGAACCACAGAACATGATGTCATCAACATCGATTTGAAGTATAAGAAACTGATCTTACTGAATTTTGACATAAAGGGTGCTGTCAACTTTTCCTCTGTGAAAGCCTTGCTCAACCAAGAAGTGAGGTAATTTTTCATACCAAGCTCTGGGAGCTTGTTTGAACCATACAAAGCTTTGTTCAGTTTGAATACATAAGAGGGATGCTTGTGATCTTTAAAACCTTCAGGTTGTTCCAAATAAACTTCTTCTTTTAAGTCTCCATTCAAGAAGGCAAACTTCACATCCATTTGATATACTTTGACTTGTTTGTGACATGCAAATGACAAGAGCATTCTGATTGATTCCAGCCTAGCAACTAGTGCAAAAGTTTCATCATAATCAATTCCTGCTTTTTGAGAGTAACCTTTGCAGACCAGTCTTGCTTTGTTTCTAATAACAGACCCTTTCTCATCCAACTTATTCTTGTATATCCACTTGGAACCAATGACATTTTTAGATGCAGGTCTAGGAATTAAAGTCCAAGTATCATTTTTATGAATCTGATTAAGTTCTTCTTGCATAGCTAATATCCAATCTTCACTTTTCTGAGCTTCATTGTAAGACTTTGGTTCAATGGAAGATAACATAGCAAAATGACTGTACTCTTCTCTATCTTCAGCTTCTAATTCAATGAGCCTTTTCTTGTGTCTTGTTTGAACACCAGCCTGAGGTGATCCAATGATATTTTCAGCTTGGACCTATTTCTGCAGTATTGGATAGATAGTTTCCCTTTGATTGTCAAACCCTGAAGTGGATTAAGCAGCTTCATTTAACTCTTTAACTGAATGAGAAGGACTAGCTTCTGTTGATCAAGGTATTGAACAACTATCATCATTGATACAAGATTAAGGATTTTCATCAAATTTAACATGAATTGATTCAACAACTTTAGTGGATCTGAGATTGTAACATCTGTAAGCCTTCCTTTTGATAGAGTATCCCAAGAATATACCTTCATCAGCCTTAGAGTCAAATTTCCCTAGGTTATCTGTATGATTGAGAATAAAACATCTGCTGCCAAACACCTTAAAGTAATGAACTGTTGCAGGCCTTCCATACCATAGTTAAAATGGAGTCTTAGTTGAATTAGGTCTAAGAAGCATCTGTTGATGATATATACTGCAGTACTGACAGCTTCAGCCCAAAAGCCTTTTGCAAGACCTTTTTCAAGTAACAAACTTCTCCCCATTTCCTACATAGTCCTATTTTTCCTTTCCACTACTCCATTCTGTTGAGGAGTTACAACAGCTGAAAATTCTTTCTTGATACCCTTTACATCACAATAGCTTTCAAACTCTCTCATTGTAAATTCAGAACCAAAATCAGACCTTAGTCTCTTTATAGTGCAACCTTTTTCATTTTCAACCAGGTTAACAAACTTAATAAAGTGTGTAATAGCATCAGATTTCTCTTTTAGAAAATAAACCCACACCATTCTTCTGAAATCATCAATGAGTAGCATAAAATACTTAATTCCTCCAATGCTTGTAGTTCTAGTAGGACCACAGAGATCCACATGAATCAAATCAAGAGCTCTGGAAGTGTTGATCTCTTTGGAAGGGAATGTTACTTTCGTTTGTTTTCCTTGTTGACAAGCTCTACAGAGATGGTTATCACTGAATTTTAGATCAGGTAAGCCTTTCACAGCCTTCAGCTTCAGAATTTTGATTAGATTTCTTGAGTGAAGATGACCTAGTCTCTTATGCCATCGAACAACTTCATCTAGAGTAGTCAAGTTACATTGAGTGGCTTCTTCAGATACTATGTACACATTTGTAGGAGATCTATAGGCTGAGAATAGAACCTTTTCTGATTCAATGTCCACAACATTACACTTCTTTTTATCAAAACACACCTTCGTCCCACTGTCACACAGCTGACTCACACTTAGAAGATTATGTTTAAGGCCTTCAACAAGTAAAACCTCTTTAATCTCAGGCAATTCTTCAAATTTATTCACAGTCCTAATTCCAATTATCTTAGCCTTTTAGTTATCTCCAAAGATAACATTTCCTCCATCAAAGTTTTTTAGAGATACACACTAGGAACCATCACCTGTCATATGCCTTGACCAACCACTGTCAATATACCATTTATCATTGGTGTTACAGGCTTTGAAAGCTGTATATACCAACATACTCAATGCATTCATTCTTTTAGGTATCCACATCATCTTGGACTTCATAAAAGATCTTTTATCTTTGACCTTCTGAACTTGAGCTAAGTTAGATTTCTTCATATACATCTTGGTGATTTTGAAATTTCTGATGGATGATGTGACAAAGTCAGTTTCATTCAACTTCAGATTGTTATAGGTTTTGTCAAGTATATCATATTTTGATCTCATAGGCTTTATAATTGGAAATCTTGCATAAACCTCACCAGAGGAGGCCTTGACAAACACTGAGTGGTTTTGTTTAACCTTGGTTGTAGTGTCACAAACATAACCAATACTAGTCTTTCCAATTTGCTTAGTGGATTGCTTCCAAATTTTAGCCATCTTTAAAGATCTTTCTTCAAGACTCAATGAGAGTTCTTCTTTGCACCTTTTAGTAGACCATTGTGTGTTATATTGAGACTTCAACATGCTTAAGAAGACTAGAGTAACTGAACATAAAGTTGACAGTTTAAGCCTAAAGTGGTTTACAAGAAGTTTTTTGGATTTTTGTAGTTCTGAATTGAGTGTCTTTATCTGAGATTTCTGTTAATTGCACTTCACAGCAAGTCTTTCACATTCCTCAAGTATTTCTTCTATTTCTGAGTCACTGTCTTCTTCAACTTTTGATACAGCTTGTGAGGTTTCAAGAGTAGCCATGAACAAGCACTCATCTTCTTGTGGTTCTTCAGTTTTGTTGTAATGACCCAGTCTTTTTCCTCCTTTTTCATTTTCGGTGATTTTCTTTTTTCGTCTTTTTCCTATTTTGTCTTTTCCCTATTTCGTTTTTTTCCTGTTTATCATTTTTTCTTGCGTAACCTCACTTCTAGTGTTCGGATTTGATTCCGGTTTTGCATGCATTCATGATATTTGATTTCCATGGCATTGGTATTTTTACTTTTATTGAAAAGCATACTAGTTGCTTACTTTATCCATAAAGGGCATGAATGCATACTTTAGTGTAATTATTTATAACTTTTGGGGTTTTTAGTGTAATTATGTAAAATAATTATTTTTCATTTTAGGTACCTTTTTACAATTTATTTTGGAAGATATTTTGAAAAAGGACTATTTTGCAATTTTTGGAAAGTGTGACAAGTGTCACACTCTCATGGAGCCACTTGTTGGCATTTGGGTGAAGAGACTTGGCACCATGACTTCTTGACAATTGGAAGGTGGAGAGTCACCCATGTGTTGTCCTAGGATTGGTGCACATGTAGCCTTTGATTTGTGACAAGTGTGGGCTTAGGATTTAGTCTTGGAAGAGGCATTGGATTGGTGACAAGTGTAGGATCAAAATTTAGTCTTACATTATGTGTGTGTGTGAGGTAGTGCAAGAGCACATAGTGAGTGGAGGATTTCTAGCCCTTCCACTCATCATTTTACACTTTACCTTTTTCATTTCATTGTCTCTCATGAACCCTAGCCAATCTACCATTGGAGGAAAGCTTAGTTCATAGCTTATCCCTTCAATTTGGCTCACTTCCATTCACCTTAGAGTAAAAACTTGGGAGAGAAAGGATTCCTCTCTCTCCTCTTCAATAACCCTAAACTTGTTTTCCATTTTGAGCTTGGTTGCTTGGATTATAGAGATTCAATTCTCTATTGAGGTAGGGGTGGTAGCATGTTTATATTTTGAGTGTTTTAAGTCCTTTGGAGTTTAATATATATTGTGTACATACTTTTAGAATTGTAGTATTGCATACTATAGGAAATCCTTATGATTGACTTAGGATTTCATTGATCAAGCATGTATGTTGTGTATATATCTTGAGTAGGATTGTTAAAGTTGTATAGAATTCTTAATGATTGAGTTACTATGCTATTGTGATGTTAATCCTACATTCTAGTAGATTACTATTGATAATCATGATTGTTATAGAAGTTATTTTGCTAAAATGCTAACATTTAGTATATATGGCTTATTGTTGAGGCATGCTTAAATTGATAAGTTAATGATATTGTTTTGTGCATTATATCATGTTAAGAACTTGTCATCTATCATGCCATTCTAGACTTGGAACCCTAAGACATGGTTTGTGTGGTTACGAAGTTCTTGTGCTTGTAAGGTGGTTGATATGCCTTATTATTTATATATATATATAAGTTTTGAACTTGATATATATTTTGGATTCTCTTGGGACATGGTTACTAGGAACATGGCTAGAGTTTGGCTCTAGTGCGGGAGGTATGAGTTCTCCCCAATTGAGATAGTGCGCACTTAGGGTGGTCTTCCTTGCGGGTTAATACCCGGAATAACCGTTGAGGTCTCGGCAGAATTCCGAGCTTAGGTGTCCAAGGATTCCACTTTTTGATTTCACATTCATTTCCAAGTTGACAATCAATGTTATTTGTAACTTGTAAATTTTGTTATATGCAATTTGATGTTGTTAAGTACATCCATTTTGATATTATGTTGCTAAGAAACATTTAAGTTAGATTAAGATGATCCCTTAGAACACCTTGAACATAGACGTTAAGTGGAATGCTCCTTTGTATTCGTCTATATTGATCTTGCAATAATATTGAAACTTTAGGGTATACGCATATGCTTCTTCCTACGAGTAACTTGATTACTCACCCTAGTGGTTTGGGTTGTTTTTCAGGTAAAGAGACCATATTCTTGGATGTTCATCATCCT